CCCAGGTTGAAATAGGCTCTTTATAACCTCTACAGTTTTCTCGATAAATTCTCTGGGGTATCCGTTACTAAGGCAAATCCGTGTCAATTTGTCCAACTTCTCGTCCCAAAACTCAGCGTTCGTTAGTAGTAAGCTTCTTGTGATCAAACTGCTCAGTATTCCGATCTTCAGTCTGTAGTTATGATGAGACTGAAAGTTAAGGATTATTCCCGCATACGACTTCTTTCTTTATAGTCTTTTCATGAGTGTCCCTTTGGAGCGCATGACTTCAATATCCAGAAAGGGTAGCCGTTCATCCTCCTCCACCTCCATTGTAAATTTAATTCTTTTATCAAGTTGCTGAATGAAATTGAAGAATTCACTTAAATTTTCCTTACCATTTGACCAAAATGCAAAGTAGTAATCCAAGTACCGCATGAGCACTCTTGGTTGCAGTGGTGACTTCTCGAATTCCTTTTCCAACATGTCCATGTATACATTTGCCAAAAGAGGTGATAGTGGTGGTCCCATCGGTAGTCCAAATATTTGCTCATAGATAATGCCGTTAAATGTGAAATATTTCAGGTTGATTAGTCGTATTAACGACTCCTTCCGTATCCGTTCTGCCTCCAGGATATCCTCTTCTCGCTCCAATATCTCCATTAAGGCGCTTATCGCCTTTTCATATTAATTCTTAACGGGATTCGTGAGTCTATCATTTACTTTCTTGAGCTTCAAGCAAATAAATTTCGCTAGTTTGTGTATTGCTCCATGCTTTTTGTTGACTATTAGTATAAGCGGATTTCCTTCCTTGTGTATCTTCGGTAGTTCGTAGACTGTCGGTGGTCTTGCGTAATATTTCCTGTCCATTACAACAGTCGCTCTTCCCTTATCGGCCTAAAGAATTAGTTGATCATTCATTTGTAATTTTTTCCGAATACCAACCAATATGCTCCATTTAATCGGTTCTTGATGCGTCAGGATCCGTGAAATTATTTCCAGTTCCATCTCTCGCCTTGTATCATATATATCCTTTATGTTGACAACTTCCACCAGGACATCACTAAGAAAATTACCTTTATTAACTGGTGAAAAATGTACCCCTTCTTCAAGAGATCCGTAGTTTCAGAATCAAGAGCGATTGAAAATAGGTTTACAACCTTTGTCCTATCGTCGACAGTAGCAGCTGATGCCTTCAATAGAGAACCATTACAATTTGCCCATCTTGGCTTGGTCTTGCGTCGTCTTATTATCACATAGCTAAGCAATTTCTTGTCATCTTGCTTATTAATCAGATCCCAGACCCTTTGTGACTCATAGTCATGCTCTGGAGTTTTTGAAAATTATCCAAGGCGAAAGCCCTACCTAAATCTTTCCTTCCTTTAGATTTAAGATCTATGAGCTTATATAGCTTACGCCTCTTGGTCTCGTAACTTTCCTCTAATTTCTGCAAGGAAGCGTGATAAAGAATTTTATTCACTGTGTCCGAATGACACCTTCTCATTAGATTGCTGAATAGTGGAGCGATACCATAATATTTGCAACAATTCAAAAAGGCTAAATGGCAGGATTGCCTTCTTTGTCCGGCTATAATCAGTGACTTGTTTGGCAATCTTACTTCCATAGTTTAATCGAAGGTAGGAAGACCAATATAGTGTGGCCTTTTGTGTGGTCGCAGTCTCCTTTCGTTGTATAGAAGTTGTTTGACCTTGTTTTCGCAA